AAATCAAAATTTGTATTATTACATGTTTTTAAAGATGACGATCTGTTAATTCGCCATATGTATGTACGAGTTATGTATTTATTTGTTAAATACATGTTTTAAAAAATTTTAGATTCCACTGCGTATAGCTCGTACGGTACAGGCGAATCCAACAATATTGTCTTGACAAAATGATTGTGAAGAAGATCTGTTTAACAGCTGAATCCGTTTACTTTCCTTTTTATCTTGAGATAACTCTTTTACTTTTGGCATGCATATTGTTATAACTATTGTAAGAGATATTTCCACCTAAATTTCACTCTACCTAGAATCTTGATTTTAACAGGTATATACGCGTATTGTATCGAGTGCGGTTTGAATCTGATGACACGTGATTTTGCCGAAGGATGTCGTGTAGTTTTCATGTGTCATAATATAGAAAAAGATATGCCTGATCGCCTCTTTCATTATCCTTTCTATAGGTAGAACTCCTGTGAGCGGTTTAAACTTCGATTCTTATTTCTTTCTTCATATTTACAAGGGGAGCAAAGCCCATTTTTTGCTCCCTCTATTGATATATCAGGGGCCTCCTGCCGTCGTTTCAGTGACTCACAGAGGTTCCCTCAGCTCAGTCTTTTTGGTTCTTGAGAATGGTCGCCACCTCCCAGGACCGGAATGATTATCCCTGCCCGATGGATCTACATCCATCCCTGAATGTCGTCGGGTACTGTTAACTTCCCCGCCATTCTTGTAACTGTCACCTGTAATCCGCGCAGGTGTGTCCGCACCTCCCTGAGTGGACGAAAAAGAAAGGATTTCTCGGAGCAACCAGACCCAGGAGTCAACTTTCCCGTATGAGCATTCGGTACATGTATCAGTCCGTGGAAGAATGAAAGGGTCTCCCCCCGAAGATAGGTCGCCCTTCAAGTGACAAGGGGGTTCGCCGCGGTTCATTGTTGTGCTTACACACTAGGCTACCCTTTTCCGAAAGCTCCGCGGGACCACCTACCACTAGAATTCGGCCGGGAGGGGTTTATTGCACAAAAAGGCCGGGACGCAGGCTCCCGAAAAGTCCAGCCCAACGAATGTCAGATGCAAAGCCCCGCACCTCAGTAAGATCATATTGGCATACTCTCCCAAAAAAAAAGAAGAGACCCCATTGAAGACGAGAGTGAGGTACAACAAGGCTCGATTACATTGAGCCGCCCTTCTCACGGAGCCGTACGTGGATGTTACCGCTCATACATCTCCCAACCAGCGAGCAGTTAGCCTTCCTCTACTTTGAATGGATGTGTGGATGAATCTACATCAAATAGAGAAGACCAAAGTGAGACTTGGAGGACGAAGCGAAGCGCAGTGAAGGATAAAGTATTGGCTATGTTACATGGACTTTGGTACAGGTGTCGGATACGGGTACATATTTAAGTATCCGATATTTATATTTCTAAAAGTTAAGATACGGGGACACGTACCCAAACTTGGACACGGGAACGTGGGTACGACAATTAGCGTAATAAAATTTAAAAAATAATTTATTTTACAATATTAATAGGAAAAAAGAGTATATACATCATTACAAATTTATATTCATCCTAATTAAATACATATATACTACTACTGCAACATTAAAATATTCGTATTCACTACAAACAAATAAAGTTCTAGTGAAGAATTTTTTTGTCATTATATCTACGATTGTTGTCACTATGTTGTCACTATATCTACTGTCAGTATATCTACAACTGTTGTCACTATATCTACTTTTATTGTCACTATATCTACAATTGTTGTAGATATAGTGACAATAATTGTAGATATAGTGACAGTAGATATAGTGACAACACAGTGACAACAAAATTCTTCACTAGAACTCTATTTTCTTGTAGTGATTAAAATATAAAAGAATGCAATAAATTAAAGGTCTAGTTATTAAGTAACAAAATGGACCTAATAACTAAAGGGAAATTTTTAAGTCTCCTACATGAAATTGAAAATATTACAATTATACCTTTTATAAACAAATAATTGTAACTATACCTAAATAAAAAACATTTAATGCATATTAACCTAAAAATCAGTTACATTTAAGGTGGACCTCAATCCCATATTTTTCGCACGATTTGGGGTACCTGCCTAAAAAAATGTACCTAATGTATATGGAATGAAAATCAAGGAATAATAAATGGTTTTACGTACCCATATTTTCCGTACTATTTTCTGAGGTATATGTGCAGTATATTTTTGGTATTTGTTCATAGAAATAAATTATGTAGTTTTTAATATGTTTTGTTTATGTTAAGCAGTTTAGTTTTATGTGTGCAGTACAAGTATATTTTTGGTTTATGTTGAATATATTTTATCTTTATGTTCAGTTTTTTGGGGTTTATGTTCAACATTATATTGTTTGATTTATGTTCATTATGTATATTTCACTAATCACTCACGATTTTGGAGTATATTTCACGTCACAGAGAATGTATAAGTGCAGTGTATTTTGGTATTTGTTCCTTAGAAATAAATTGCGTAGTTTTAATATGTTTGGTTTATGTTAAACAATTTATTTTCATATGTGGAGTATAAGTATATTTTTAGTTTATGTTCAGTTTACTTGGCTGGATGCATCACATACGATGAATTATTATTATTATTATTATTATTATTATTATTATTATTATTATTATTATTATTATTATTATTATTATTATTATTAACTAAAAAAGTAAAATAAAATGAAATAAAAAGGCTAAGAAATTATTGGTGAATTGCAATGTAAAAAAAGATATATATATTTTTATTTCGGACATGATTGTCCCATATTACTAATATAAAGAAGTCGTACAATAACAACATTGTGAAACAAAGTGGGTCAATAAATAGAGCCGTTTTATCTACTATAACTTAATTCACTTCCCATATTTAAGTCATAATTATTTAATTTACAAAATCTGGTATATGTGTAAATATGATGGGCTAATTTTTTATCTTTGCAAATAAATAATAATTAAGTGTAAAGATGTAATATAAATTATATTTGGTAGTATGAGGTGCAAATTCCTCATAACTAAATAAGAACAACCCAACTCTAAGTAAATAATATAAAATATATTGGCCCAAACAATGTGGTCCAATACCACACAACCCAAAAACCCCTTATCCATTCCCGATTTTAAGAAAACCCTAACCACTCATTCTTGGGGTATACAGTAAAGCAAACTTTTATGTGAGCTTTTGGATTGTATTTATTCGATTTCCCATTTGACTGAAATAAATGTTTTCACATTGTTGCATTCTTTATGATTGCTTGTATGCTAAATGTCCAATTATCTTATATTGTAGACAATGTGGTGTGTTAGTAGTCACACAGAAGATTACATTGTCGGTCCCTTCTAAGATATAAATGGTATTTACAACTGAGATAGTTATGGACATGATTATCGGTTTAG